GATGTGATTCTGCAATCTGTGTATGGGGTGAAGGTGGGAGTTCATAACCCACTTGAATCAAAGTGTGGAATATGATATGTCAAGTAATTTGTAATGTTTTGAACAACCCACAAAAAAATAATTAAAAATATAAAAAAAAGAAATGTAAGAATTTTCAAAACAAAATTATATTTAATTTAAATAATAAAACTATTCCATTACCATTCTCATGAGAAAAGCAGAGAGTGACAGAAGACCAAAAACATCAAGTAAGCAGAGGATGTTTCAGCACTAAAGAAGTTAGAAATCACTTACTCAAATCTTTAGTTAATAATGAACACATAATGAAGTTTCCGATCTTGGCACTATGCAGTTGTTCATATGCTACGAAGTGGAATTTATTGTCATTTCATTATAATGGAAATGGTGCAGAGCTGGCAGTACTTTAGCAAACAGCATTTCTCCTAGCTACCTCAAAGAAGCACTTTTTCTTAAACTCTTGCTGTTGTCCTTCCGGAGCTATTCCTGACACAGAAAAAGAGTCCATTAAGTGTTTTTCCTGGTCTTCATTGTCTGCAGAGCCCATGACCACAATGGAACAACCAAGAGAAAAGGTAGGAAGGTACAAAAGAGGGAAGGTGCTAGAAGTAAGAAGAAAAGTAACTGGATCCCTACAAGATTGGTTTGTTCTAACATATTGTTTCTGAGCAAACAAGAGAGGTCTGAATTAATTCAACAATTAATTAAGTAAACAATCATTTTGAAGAGTTTCCTGCAAGCCCTGACCTTTGTGTCTGTGTATTATCTCTAGTCACTGAAATAAGACTGAGAGATTTTGTTAACAAGATGACCCCAGCCTCCCGCTTGAAACAGGGTCCTCCCTTGGCTTTAGGTGCATGAGATCTTCAGGTGCATGAGATGAGGTTCCTGCCCATCTGCCTGCTGATGATTCTCAGCTATTCGCCTGACTTCTACTGTTAAGGGCCCAGACTTTGTACCTACACTCTGCCAGAGCAAGCTTCTCCGGTCCTATGGCTGGAACACCAACTTCACACTGAAAACCGCCTCCAGCTCTGACCTCTCCTCAGAACTCTGATCCAAATTGTCAAAATGGTTTCATTCCAGCTTCACTGGGGTATAATTACCAAATAGTAATTGTGTATATTTAAGATGTACAACTTGATGGTTTGATGTATGTTTACATGGTGAAATGATGACCACAATCAAGCTAGTTAATGTACCCCATCACCTCACATAGTTTTGTTTTCTGTTTGTTCTTGGGAAAACACTTGAGATTTACTTTTTAAAATAAATTTTCAAGTACACAAGGTATGAGGTGATATCTCATGTGGTTAGAACAATTTTTAAATATAAATCTAATTAAGTCATTTCTCTTCTGCCTACTGCATTTAGAATAAATCCAAACTCCTAGACCAGGCACTGTGGTTCATGCCTGTAATGCCAAAAACTCAGGAGGCTGAGGCAGGAGGATCACAAACTCAAGGCCAGGCTCAGCAGCTTAGGGAGGCCCTAAGGAACTTAGTAAGACCCTGCCTCAAAGAAATTTTGTGGATCTGGGGATGTAGCTCAGTGGTATAGCATCCTGGATTCAATCCCTGGTATAAATCAATCAATCCAAACTCTCACATGACTTCTAATATTTTTGGAGGTCATCTTGGCCTCTAGCCTTGCTTGCTCCACTTTAGCTGCATGGGCATTTCTTGGCCAATTCCTGACCTACCACAGGGTGTGTTGTGCCCACCCTGTGGAAAGTGCTTCTTGCAGATCTTCATTTATCTGCCTCCTTCTCATGCAAGTCTCTGCTCTACATTGCTGCTACAAAGAGTTCCTGAACACCCCCATCTGCAATGGATCCTCCTGTGCACACCTGCTCACTACATTATTTTAAAATATTTGCTTACTCCTTATCTGTTTCCCCACTATAATGTAAGTTCTCTGGTGGCAGTGACTTTGCATCAAATACTATAACTTCTATGCCTAAAATATTATCTGATGCAATAAACATCAGTTTATAAAATAATTATTTTATTTTATTTTATTATTTATTTACTTAATATTACTGGGTTTGAACCTAGAAGTATTTCACCACTGAGCTACATCTCAGCCTTCTATTTGGAGACAGGGTCTCACTAAGTTGCTGGGGCTGGCCTTGTTCTTATGATCCTCTTCTCTCAGCTTCCTTAGCCATGTGCCACCATGCTCTGCTGCATTCTTATATCAGAGATAAAAATCTAAAGCTTAAGTTGTATGCTAGTTTTCTTTTTTAATATATTTTTTATTTTTTTTATTGGTTGTTCAAAACATTACAAAGCTCTTGACATATTGTATGCTAGTTTTCAATTGCTGCTAAAACCAATTACCACAAACTTAGATTTTTTTCCCACAAGTTGTGTCATTTTGGGAAGCTTCTAGGAGGAATCAATTGTTTTGCCTTTTCCAGCTTCCAGAGCTATCTGCATTTCTTGGCTTGCGACCCCTTCATCCATCTTCAAAGAGCATCTTTCCAAACTCTGGTTCTGGAGTCTCATCTTCTCGTGTGTGTGTGTGTGTGTGTGTGTGTGTGTGAGAGAGAGAGAGAGAGAGAGAGAGAGAGAGAGAGAGGAGAGATTGGACCTATAAGTACTGTAATACTGAACAACAATCCTAGCCCTTTTTTGATGCAGAAATTGAAGTTCATAGATATTGAGTGAATTACCATACAGTTCCAAGTAAAGAAAAGGGAATTCAAGAAAGACTATTTTTTATTTCGAGACAGGGTCTCATTAAATTGCTGAGACTACTTAAAATCCTCCTACTCCAGCCTCTAGGCACCTGATCCATGTCCTTTTCCTAAGTCTGATTCTGATTCTACCCTTTTTCTTTTTTCTTTCTTTTTTTTCTTTTTTTTTTTTTTTTTTTGGTACCTGGGGTTCTAGGGATTGAACCCAGAGGTACTTAATCTCTGAGCAACATTCCTACCCCTTTTTATATTTTATTTAGAGACAGGGTCTTGCTGAGTTGCTTAGCACCTCACTTTTGCTGAGGCTGGCTTTGAACTTGTGGTCCTCCTAACTCAGCCTCCCCAGGCACTGGGATTACAAGCACACACTATACCCGGTTTCTGTTCTTACAAGGACCTTTGCAATGACACTGAATGCACCCAGATAAAGCAAGATACTTTCTCCATCTCAAGGTCCTTAATTTCACATGTGTGATACAAAGTTCCTTTTTGCCATGCAAGGCAACAGATTCCCACATTCCAGGGATTAAGGCATGGTCATTGTTGGATGGGAGGGCATTATACTGTCTACCACAGGATGTTTGATTAATTTGCTCAACATCCACTGGCTAGTAAGTGGCAAAGAAGGGTTTTCAACTTGAGCTTTTTGAACTCCATAGCACAAATTCCACTGTTGGTGTTGTCCTTTAAACCATCACCCATCTAGTTTTAGCAAAGCTGAGCAGGAAGATTTGAGGCCCACGATTCACTTTTCCATCAAAGTATTTTTCAGCATGTTACAAGTGATCCCTAGGGCTGGGGATGTGGCTCAAGCGTTAGTGCGCTCGCCTGGCATGCGTGCGACCCGGGTTCAATCCTCAGCACCACATACAAACAAGGATGTTGTGTCCACCAAAAACTAAAAAATAAATATTAAAAAATTCTCAAAAAAAAAAGTGATCCCTATCACTCTACGAAAGAGTTAATACGTGGCATCTGCTCTAAATGTACAAATTATACATACTCACAAAGACATCAGGAGGGTTGCTTAATATAGAAAAGAGAAATATGAGACTATCATTTTTTGAGCATTGTAATTTCCTAGATTCATTCTCATATTTGTTATCTCAATTATTGGAATTATTTTTGTTAATGAAGAAATTGATTTCCATACAGCTCCAAGTAAAGTCTGATCTGCTGGTCTCCAAAGCCCGTATTCTTTCCTAGGTACCCAAATACCTTCCAGAGCAAAAGAAAGTTTTCCTGTTGAACTCTTAATTCACTACCAATAAATATAAGGGGGAAAAGGAAATATAGAGCATTAGCAAATTGTGTTCTGGAATTTTTTTCTTGGGAACTTCAAAGGTGAGACAGTGGTTTGTGCAGATTTTTCAAATTACAGAATTCTTCACCCAGTGTGTAAGTTAGCATAATGCCTGGAACATTATAGATACTCAGTAAAAACCTGGTAAAGGTTACTGAATTAATTTAGATGAAAATTTGTAACCTTTTCCAGACGATTAGATATTCTTCATTTCTTCCATGAGGTCACATGGGATGTAGCTAGGGGAATAGCAACAAAGCCTTGGTAATGTACTAATAGCAGGATTCCTAAACAGCAGGGAAGGGACTCTCGTCATTGCAGTGCTCCACGCCCTGAAGGGAATGACAGTTTTTGATGAAATAGTTATAGGGTGGTAACCACCATTGCACACATCCACTAGGAAAGGCTTTGAAATCCTTTAGCCCTTGCCAATTTAATCTCTGAACCTCAATCCCTACCACAACCACCACCGCCACTCTTCATTCATTGATCTATGCCTAGGGATGATAAATACTGAATCCCTACAATGAGAAAATCTCTGCTAAATTCCAGAGATGCAGATGATAGTTCCTGCCTTATTGAGAGCAAAAAAAACACAGCCACGGAAGATATGTACATTAAATGCACTAAAGTATTACAGGGATTACATGTATTTTACCACCCAGAGTGGGAAACTCAAAAACAGGTGGTAGGGCTGGGATTATAGCTCAATGGTAGAGTGCTTGCTTTCCACATGAGAGGCACTAGGTTTGATCCTCAGCACCAGACAAAAATAAATAAAATAAAGGTATTGTGTCCATCTATAACTAAAAAAAATAAAATTAAATAAAATAAAATAAACAGATGGTAAATTCTACCTGATGAAAGAGCTTCAAGAAATGTTTAGATGCTCACAAATTCGGGGGAAAGGGTAGGCAATAGGTGGAAGAATAGGAGTGCTTCCAGATAGATAGGATAGCATGAACAAGAGCACGGAGGTATAAACACTGGTGTTTTACAGAAAAATTGAAAACATATTGGCTTAGAGGCTATTTTTCATTATGAAAAATTAAAAAAAAAATGGTCACCAGTCAGAAGCACAATTTGGTTTTAACACATTTACTGGTGCCTTCCACTTGGAGTTTGCACTTACTTTGGTCTTAGCTGCAGGTCACTCTGCCAAGTTCCCCAGGCTGGACCTGCTTCTAGACAGGCAGGATTTCTGCGTCAGCAGCTTTGGTACTGCAGCAAAGTGAGCTGTCCATTTTCTATGCCCAATTAAGAAATGCATGGCACGCTAGGGCTGGGGCACAGTTCACCGTAGAGCACTGCAAAAACAAAACAAATCAAAAGGGAAATCCAAGAGGCTTCCCCCTCCTGTTTTTTCACCCTCCTGCAGCAGCCTTCATTTCCTTCCTCCTGTTTTCTCCCCCTCCCCCTCACTCCATCTCCTCCATGGAACCTTCCAAGTAGCCACTGTGTACCTAGCTGCCTTTTCTCATGTGAGCCAATAGAGCTAATTGAGGTAGTAGTGGAAAAACAAGCAGAGATTTGATCCATCATTAAACTAGAACAAAACAGAGTCTCCGGGAGTTTTGTGTGTATGTCTTTTCCTATGTTCATAAACTTTAGAAATGAAAATGTGAGGTAAATAATTAAGGAACAAATTTGACTCCTTGATCCTTTCAGACTTTTTCCGTCTTGTATTTATTTTTTTACCCATCACTTACTCTACACAAAGAGAACTCCACAATAGGGAAATCCTCTATGAAAGGTCACGTTAACAGACGATTAAACTTTTGACCCGATATGCTTTTACATCAGCATTGCAGGCTTATCCAGGGATAAGTATCTTGGAAATACAGTATTTCCAAGCCTAAATGTCAAAAGTGAGTACAAAAATAGCCCACTGGACTGTTCCCTTTAGCAAAATAAATCCCCCTCCAAGTGCAACATATTAGGAATATGCTCCATTTGAAACAAGGGCAGAAAACTCTCCAATAAATCCCAAAATATTGGCAAGTCTGTGAAAGATTTATGATTGACCACGGATTATGAGATTCTATTTTCAGCACATTCCTCGTCAGCAACCAGACTTTCTTCATTTACAATGAGCTATTCTGGATAGTCATCAAAAACTAAATATCATGAGTAAAGATGTCCAAAAATAGAAGTATTGTTTTAAAAACACTAATCTTTTTTAAAAGACCAAGATATTTGTATTCCACCACCACCCATGCTGATGATTTTCCTTTTTACTTCTCAAACTTCTATATATCATTAAGAAATACATTTTCATTTCAGTTTAGACATCACCACTGTACCTTAGAGCCAGAAGGGATGTTAGGTATACCATTTAATCCAGCCTTTTCACTTCACACATGACCAATTTGGCAAATTGTATGGAGCACCTGCTAAGAGGCAGTGTACTGGGGCTGTAGGAGCAATTCTAACATAAAAAATTCATGATTCCTGGAATCGTTTGGCAAAAAATTATTTCATTTCTTCCTTAAAGATATTTTATACTATTTGAGGAGACTGACACATATAGAATGAAGCAAAGTAGAACAAAGGTTAGAAGGCTGATTCAAACCAAGAGCAACACATAGACTGAAGGAAGGGATGAGTGGCAAGTTGGAGAAGGCTATCTCAGGTAATAAGACTTGGAGTAGATTTGAAAAGTGAATATATTTTCACTAGCTATAAGTGCAATGTAAGATTATGTTCCATAGATGGAATAGTGTTAGTAAAGATTCATAAACAGTAAAGAACATGAGTGACCCAGGAGAGCTGGAAATTGATTTGGTAGGAGCAGAAGTCGATAGTGCTTCCTTAAAGGTTGAGAGTACAGCAGTAAGGATGTTCTGGCTTCCAGAAGGAGACAACCCAACCTCAACAAGAAAGGCAACTTGCCATCTCAAGACAAGGAGTCCATAGGTAACACTTCCAGGGCAGGTCATTCCAGTGGCTTATGAAGTCACTATTGAAACTTGCTTTTTCCATTTTTCTCTATTCTGTCATATTGGGTTAAATCTTTCTTCTTATCATCAGGTGGCCTCTGCAGTCTTAGTATCATACTTGGTACCACAGCCTCCCTGGATATCTTTTATCATATACTTACCTCTAAATCAATCTCTAACAAGGGAAGAGGATTATCAAAACTAATCAGGATTTTACACTGGAGTCAAAGGGGGAGAAGTGAACACCCCAAATCAGGGTTTTGCTAACAAGGAAAAAGAAGACTGGTTTTTGAGTAGGCAACTCACACTGGGAAGAGACCACAGATATGCCATAAACCTGTTTGGGGAGAAGATAAGGGGAAAACCCTCTCTCCCTACTCAGAGCAATAGCTCCTCCACAAAGGTTGGAGCGGACAATTGTTGGGAATTCCTCTAGGCAACAGCAGGCCTAGTTTGATGAACAGTGGTTTGGGATTTGAGCCATAGCAGCTTCACATTATACTCAAATCAGTAGGTGGCCAGGTGTGAGTGGAGGGAGGGAGTTGTTCAAGGGTAAAAATCTTTAGAGAACTTTGGAGATGCCATAGTTTCTTCTCTGACTCCCTGGGGTTTGGCAGGTGTGCCCTATAACCTCATTAACCAGTCTTAGGCTCATTGAGGGTTGGTCCTTCCCAATTGCATGTCTCTTACCTGTCATAGAATGCTAATCCATATATTTAAAGAATTTCCAAAATCAATTTATTATTTTCTCAATTACTTTATTCCATAACATGATGTCAGATTTCTTAATATCAGTAAAGGTAATGTTTTGGTACAAGTAACTGTTGCATCCTGCGTCATGGGCATGTAATCTGGGCTCCCAACTCAATTTCCATAATTATATGTTGTTGTATTGTACTTTTAGTAAGGAAATAATAATGATGTTTTGTGAAACCACATCTCTTTTTTTTCAGCCACTGTTTTTACTTTATGATAAGAGGGAATTAAATTCAAAAACAAAATGAGTCACCCCATTGCCACTACAGCCCTTTCATTTTCCTTTCTGTTTTCTCATTGGAGGCTGCAGCTAAGATCACACTGTTGGACTCAATAGATTCTCACATCAGATTTAGAGAAAAGCACTGAGGAGATGTTTTGCCCTTCGTTCAACAGATATTTACCTAGACACTGTGCCAGAGAATAAAAATACAAATAAGATAGAGCCATCTAGTCTACCTAGGCAGTATTAAAAGTGATCAAATAAGAGTACAATTATTGGCAAAGCAAGAAATGCACCATCAAGGTGTGTGTGTGTGTGTGTGTGTGTTTTACTTTTTGGAGTGTGTGTGTGTGTGTGTGCATCCATCTAGATATCTTTTCTTCATTATTCACATGGGCACACTGATACATTAGATGAGGAGTACTATGTTAACCAAACTCCATGACTACAGTCACACTGTCTCCTCAGGGCTGGTGTGGCAATGATAGGGAGTGGGATAGAAGGTAATCAGAATAGCAGAATTCACACAAGTGGGAAAATAATTCTGTTCTACTTTCTTTTGCCTACAAAAACCAGTGGTAAGAGGAGTCTTACACTGCATAAGATTTTAATCATGTTTTTAAAAATATATAATTTCAAAACTTTTGACTAATGCATTTTAGTCTTGCAGCAATGTACATTATTTGTATAACAAAAATCTAAAAGCATGTAGTGTCTACCTTCAAGAAGTTCTTCTAGGAAAGAATATATAAATAAAACCTTGACATACAAGATTATAAGAGGTACAACAGTAGAGGTTTCATGTATTTTTTTCTCATGAATAAATAAACATAAATACTTTTTGTAAATATGGATATATTCCTGAGAGAACATAGGAAGTACTAGTCAAGATCTCTAGCTGGAGGTACTTCCAGGAAGTACTGCCCCTAGGAGTTAGCCTTGAATTGGGTTTTAAATGCAAAGTCCCTCAGAGGGAGTAGCACATATTAAAGCACAAAGAAGCCTGACAGTACCTATGACCAGACCTGCTTAGGGTGGAAAGAATAGGTGGTAGGAAGAAAAGGATGTAACAATGAATGGGGACCAGACAGTAAAAATATAAGACATCTTCAAAATTGCAGACTTCATCCTAAACATGATGAAAAGGTCCAGAGGAACATATTTCCTTTAAGGAAAAAGTAAATGTAATTTTAAAAGCATTTTGCTATAAATGTTTTGCAGTCATAAAATGAAGGAGATACCTTAGACTAATTCTTGCAGGTTAGAACCATAATCCAAAGTGAGTCTCCAGATTGGGGTCAACCAGTCAATCATTTTTTACCAGTCTGAGAAGAAATCAGAGAAATAACTTCAATGTAGTCAATTTTATATGTAATTAAATTTAATATTATTAAATCTTGTTTTTGATATCTGTCATTAGCAAAACAAAAAGAAAGTTGTTAATCCTATATTGATGTCCCCTGATTTATTTTTACTTTATTATCCCAGAAATCTTAAAGTGACACCTGGATCCACTGGACTATATATAAGTAGCTAGTTTCACTGGACACTGAAAACAGAACAAGGAAAATAAGAAAAGCAAAATCACAGGGAAAAGAGGAATCAGAGAGAGGAAATTCCAGTGGTCTAGGAGAAATATGGAAGTGGAAAAGGAACTGAATTCAATAACAAATAAAGCATTTATTTTCTACAAGTTTAGAATAAATCTTTTATTTATTTTACTTTATTTTATTTTAAAAAAAGAAACAGTGCATACTTCTTTTAATTTTTTTTCATGCCAAATCTCTAGTTTATACTTTGGAATTTTTTTGAGGCTTATGTGGGTCTTGAAATGCCAGATGCATGCATAAATTCCCTTCCTTTATGAGATACATGTCTCTGCACTGCCGCTTAGGAGGAAAATTCTCACCAAAGGAGTCTTTATTCTCTTATATCTTAAATGTGAAACACCCATCTCAGTGGGTTGTGTTGCCAACTGTAAGGCAGGAATTAAGCTCAAGTTCTGGCTTGTGACTATGGAGGAACTGCGTTTGCTGGTTGTTTTGCCTTATAATTCACTTTTCCTTCGCATATCTTTTTACAGTATTGTTCTTTTCTCTGTCCTATATACAGTTCACTTGCAGGTACTTGTTTTGATTTGTTTCTAAGTAGTTGAATTCTATCCACCATGGGCTTATAGACTCCAGAGGCCAGTTACCCAGCCTTCTGTTGGTATCCCTGCAAAGCACCCCAGGCACAGACTAGTTTGCTTACTTTTCCTTCTTTCAAAGAGCAATAAAAAAAGAAAAAAAGAAAGAAAAGAAAAGTGATCTTAGCTCCATAATCCTCAACCCTAATTTACAGAACAAGGCATCCCATTAGTGGTTTTATTTTTCATCCTATCAATCAATGTGTTTTGGCAGGATGCCTCCAAGTTAAACACCATAAAGCTAGATTTAATGTTAACTTATTGCTATAAAAATGGAAATATCCTTTTCATATTCCACTTTCCACTTGTGTTAGAGCATAATAAAAATTAAACCCATATGCCTGTAGTTACATGATAATTCATGTTTAGCTAGAGACAAGAAGAATAGAAATTAAAAGGGTAGATTCAAAACAGGTTTGAAATTTTTTTTCTTTTTCTTTTTCTTTCTTTTTTTTTTTTTTTTTTTTTTTGGTACCAAGGATTGAACTCAGGGGCACTTGACCACTGAGCCATATCCCCAGTCCTATTTTGTAATTTATTTAAAGACAGGGGCTCACTGAGTTGCTTAGAGCTTGGAGTCTCGCTTTTGCTGGTTTTGAACTTGCAATCTTCCTGCCTCAGCCTCCTGAGCGGCTGGGATTACAAGCGTGTGCCACCACACCCAGTATAGACTTCATCTTTTAAAGAGCAAACATTTGTGTTTTGTAAAATCCACTAGATCATTTTTCCCTTATTTATTTAAATAACAGAAAGAGAATAAAATTTAAAGCTGCATATGCAAGTTCTAGAAATATTCATTTTTAGCAGACTAAGGAAGTATCTTGGATTGAGGTCTGCCAGCATTTTAGTTTCTTCTTTTCAATAATTATCTTTAACATATGAATACCTTATCAACTATTTTCACCATCCAAGGTTTAAGAAATCCACAAGTATTTTCAGTAAAATATTAAAGTCTGCCCTTGTTTCTATTCTGTTTTTTTCCAATTCCCTACTTAAAAATTACTTTAATAATAATTCAATGTGTATTCTTCCTTGTTGAGGTATATGTTAAGCAGCTAATTCATTTCTTTCATTAACTCAGAACATGTGTTGAAAGGGTACATAAATTTAGCATTTAGACTTCCTCTTTTAAAAAAAATACCATACCACCACCTCTTAGGTTACCACTGATAATAACTACCATTTATAAAGTTATTACAATGTGGCAGTCATAGTGTTAAGCATTTTTTAAAAAAATTTTTTTAGTTGTAATGGACACAATCTTTGTTTACTAATTTATTTTTATGTGGTGGCAAGGATTGAACCCAGTGCCTCACATGTGCAAGGCAAGCACTCTACCACTGAGCTACAGACCGAGCACAAATAAATACACAAATACAGATATATTCGATCTCATTTAGTCTTCAAAGAAACAATATGAGGTTGTCCCCATATTACAGTACAGTAACTGAGGCTTAGTCGTTGTAAGAAGCAAAGCCAAAAATGAAATCCAGTCTGTATTGTATATCTAACTCTGAAATCCATAGATGATAGCTTGGATAGTTGTAAAACATGTGGGCATGTTAGTCTTACAAAAATCATGATCACTCAAACTCAAAATGTTATTCAACACATTATGATAACCTTACCATAAATTCTCTAGTGAGCAAAGACTCCTACTCTTTGCAAAGACCATTTCATGCTTTTTTAATGCCTGGCTCATAGGGACTGCTCAATAAATATATGTTAAACAATAATATTAGCAAACAGATATCATCATACATAAATATTAGATACCATCATACATAAAACACTTTTATAACCCTAATGTATTTTAAATTATCTAATTCTCATTTTTGAGAAACCTATCACATAGTTGTTGAGACTAACACCATTTCGCAGATGAGAAAACTGATGTACAAAGAGGTTAGGTAACTCATTATGGGTCCCACAAGTAGTAAGTGGTAGAATTAGACTTCAAATTCAGGCAGTCTTGTTCATCCATAGCCTAAATGAATGAATGAACTAGAATTATTTTTGTTAACATAAATCAAATTGTGTCATTGCCTTGATTTAAACCCTTCAAGATTCCCATTATAGGTAGGGAAGAAAAATGTAGACTTCAACCAACATGCATGATCCCCTACATTATATTTGGCTTTGCAGTTTGTTCCCCTCACTCTTCAGTCTGATGCAGATTTCCTTCAGGACTTTCTTTCCAGTTTGGGTCAATAACACATGCTGTTTCTTTTCCCTGGAACTTATCTCTACACTTATAACTGGTTAATCCCTACTCATCACTGAAGACTCCCCCTAACCATAACTTCTTGTGACACAGTGCCTCTGGTGTGCCAATATAAGCCAGGTGTCTACTCTTATTATAAATTTTACTGCATTTAAAACAAATTCAAAGGGCATATATATGTGTGTGATTGGTTTTTAAAAAAAATTTTTTTTAGTTGTAGATGGACACAATATCTTATTTATTTTTTTATGTGGTGCTGAGGATCAAACCCAGTGCCTCATGCATGCAAGGTAATTGCTCTACCAGACCCTGTGTGATTGTTTTAACCCTTCATTACACACTAATTACAGTGAAGCAGAAACTATGACTCTGTTGTTCTGTTCATGGCCTGTATTAGCTATTTGACAAAAGTTCATTGCAAGAAATAATTTTTAAAAAATTAATAAGTAGCTCAATTGAAAGCATTATTCATTGTGAATTCTCATAATATTGTGTGTAAATGTGTATGACTGCCAGTTGCCAAATGTATCTGGCAAAAACATACTTTTTTTTTTTTTTTTGAAAGAATATCCACCAGGTCTCTGAAAAGGTAAGATTGAATATGGTTAGTAAGTCAACATCATGAAAACAAAAAGCAATCTGTCTCCTCTTTACTTTCTCACCATGCAAAGTGTGGCAAGTCAAGTTTTATCTGCTACACTTGTGGAAACAGTATGCCTTTCTTCTTTAAGAAAGTTTCCCCTTCCCCTCATATCACAGTGCCCTATCACAGGTGTGAGCAAAAGACCATGTCAGGCCAATCACAATGGCCCAGACCTGGAGCAACAGTGACTCCTTCAGAGAGGAGCACAGGCCCAGATGGGCCAATCAGAATTCTCCACGTAACTACCAGGTTAGTCCAAATTGGCAGCATCCCTCCTTTGCCTGTGGAGTCACAATTCTGAAAAGATTTAAATTTAAGGCTGCTCAATGGCCACCTTCCTAAGTTAAGTGGGAAACTTCTCAATATTACAATAATAAGAGGCCAACGTGCTACAAAAGAGAAACAAGCAGAAATGAGAAACAGAGCAAGAGAAAATTCTAGTATCAATTAAGCAGCTAACTTGAAGTTAGCTGCATCTTAGACTTTCCAGATATGTCGGTAAACAGATATTTTGTTTTTATACATTTGATTGAGAACTTCTTTCTGTCACTGGCAGCCATGTGTCCTAATTCATACCTCTTCCCATGCAACTAAACAAACATTTCTTATACTTGAAAACAAAACCTACTCGAATGGAAAGTTACACTCTATTTATGTATAATATGTCAAAACACATTCTACTGCCATGTAGAACTAAAAAGAATAAATTAAATTTTTTTTAAAAAAAGAAAACACAACCAAGCCTGGTGGCACACACCTGTAATCCCAGTGGCTCCAGAGGCTGAGAAAGGAGGATTGCAAATTCAAAGTCAACTTCAGCAAAAAGTGAGGCGCTAAAGCAACTCAGTGAGACCCTGCCTCCAATAAAATATAACATAGGGCTGAGGATGTGGCTCAGTGGTCAAGTGCCCCTGAGTTCAATCCCCGGTTCCCACCCCACCAAAAAAAGAAAACACAAAACCTTGGAGAAAACTCTTAGGATTTATAGATAACTGAAAGGTTATTTGTTTGGCTAAGGCGTATGGCAAACTTACACACAGTGCATAAAAAGATAATACTATCATAATCATAAAATCATGCTAGGCCACACAAAGTCAGGGAAGCTGGAAGACCCTAGGAAAGAAGAAAGTGTCCCTTCCAGAGAATGTTCTGTTCTTCCCAGAGCAGGCTGCTGCTGCTACAGGAAAGGACCCCAGAAAAACATTAATCGTGTTTCCCAAAGCCCAGGTGAGAATTCCCATCACATCAGGCCTGGCTTTCTCCAGAGAAGACTTCAGGGATTGCTCTGTTTCAACCTAAGTCTGAATTATCACTATTTTAAGCCTCAAGAACAGATAATCCAGCTATCATCTGACTTTTTTATGGTTCTTAAACAGATGAACTTTTACATCTGTTTGTGTGATGGAATTAACTTTGTTTTATCTTGTTATTTCACAGTTCCTCGGTACCTTAGGAGAAGAAGCAAAACAATACAGACAGAAAAAAGTTAAACGAGCTCCTAAATAGATGTTTAACTCCTAGCAGAAGCAACTGCCTGAAAACTAGGTGTGGGTTTATGTAGCAGTCTGAGTATTTTTTGACATAAAATTTTGTGTTTTATTTTTTATTCCAAAAAATTGATTTTCCAAAGAGAAGTTATTTAGTTCATAGTAATTGCTAACATTTAGAGTATTTAACTATCAGGGAAGTATTGCTTCCTTCCACTGCCCCCAGACAGTCTCACTGCATTGCTCAGGCTGATCTGGAACTCATGATCCTCCTACTTCAATCTTCCAGGTAGCTGGGATTACAGGCATGCACCACCGAGCCTGGCTTCAAGTGCTGCTACTTGTTTGAACCAAATTAACCTTTCAAATGATTATACTATTGCCTTCATTTTACTGCTGAGAAATCTCAAAGAGAGGAGACTACTTGTTCAAGTCCACACAGCCAGATAACCACAGACTTTCTTTACTGTGGCCTTAACCTCCGCCTTTCCCAACTCCATGCTGCCTAACAGTCTTGGGTGTCTCTTTTCAGCTCTTTCTTCTCTTTTGTATGTCAACAATTTTAAATCTTTACATAAAACTTTATTTTGAAATTTTATTTAAAAATCTGTGTGAAATCTCTACCCACACTTAGCTATTTTGTTCAACTTTCTGGAAGATTCCTCAATGTTATCTTCCATTTCTTCTGTGGAATTCTAAAAAAAATTCAATGAATATTTTCTATTTCCAAGAGCTCTCTTTTATTATCTGTATTTCTTTTCTGTATATCACTAATCTCTGTGAGGATACTAATTAGAATTTGAGTTTCTCATTCATCCCTTGCATAGAATCTATTTCTTTGGGGACATTTGTTTGTTTTCCACTGGTGCTATTGTGTTAGCCTAGATCCTTTATTCTTTGTTCATATTTGAGGTTCTGTTAACATGGATGAAGTTTTTCAAGTGACTTGATTTGCTTTAGAGGAGCCATTGTACTTAAGTCCTTAAATTTTTTTTAAAAAAAATTTTACTGGGAATCTTAATTAACAAGTCCTCTCGACATTCCCAAATCAACATCTTTCCTCATCTTCCTCTCTCCTGTATTTGCTCTTTATACATTAATACTTGCAATGCTAGAATTGAACCCAGGGTCTTGCATGCTAGACAAGCACCCTATCACTGAGTTACATCCTTAACCCCACTTTTCCTATATTCTTATTTCAGATGGATACTAAGAGCATTCATCCAACTGCTGACAGCCAAGGACATATGTATTTATCTTTCTAGAGTCCAAGCTCTTCCCCTAATATTTAGACTCACCAATTCTTTCTTGAATCTATTTTTTTCTATGTGCTACTTCTTCAACTGCTACATTTCTATCCAACCTCACCACTTTTGCTGGGCAACAGAAATAATTTGTCTCTGTGCTTAGAATCTTGTCCTCTAAAAGCCTCTTATGAACTTCTTCCCCCAAACCAGTTCCTTCCTCACCCGTTCTTATTCAACCCCATCCTCCTCATGCATGACAATCACTGTCCCTCAATCTCACTCCACTTAAATTAAATATTTCAGAAACAAAGAAGGAAAAGAAAAAATCCTGATAATACTTAATCATGCTCAAATTATAAACAAATAAATAAATAAAAATGAGTAAATAAAGTCCCAGACCTTATTTTAAATAAACACTATGCATAATCTAAATCATATGGGATGCTTCTTTATTAAAAACTCAGAAATATTTTGGATGAGTTAGTATTAAGTGTGAAGAAACTAGACAAGATCCTATAATGGGAATTACTTACCTGGTTAGACTCTTCAGGAAAATAGGGTCCATTTGGTTTAGGCATCTATATGTGTTAACATGCGAGGGCTTCATGAAGGTATAGAAGAACCGGTTGAAAAAGAAAACTGAACAAACTCTAAAATGAGAAATATGTAAAATTTGTACCACATATATATGAAAGTAGATTCCTATCTTCCCCCATCCATTCACTCTTGGCCTCTAATTACTCAACGGGACCTCTAGAACAAATAACTCAATTAACACCTCATTAAAAGGTAATTTTAAAACTTTTATTTTGTCAATAGATAGATAAAGCAATGATGACTAAAGAAAATACTTAATAAATGGTCAGCTTCTTATTCCTAACACACCCAAATCTCCACAATTCAAAATAGAGAGCAGTTGAATATTCATTGAAAAACTTCAGACATGCCACCAGTTATACATGTTGAGAAGAATTTGACTGCAAACTATGGGATAATTCTTAAGGGTTTAGACTGTCCTTAAAAGACATGAATGTGAGGAATTTCTTTTTCTTTTTTGCAGGGGGTGGGATTATCAAATTCAACAGTTATTTGTCAGACAAGTGAAAAAATAAATAGAAGTCTGTGCCAGGCTCAGTGGTGCATACCTGTAATCCCAGCAACTCAGGAGGCTGAGGAAGGATGATTGCAAGTCCAAGGCCAGCCTTAGCAATTTAGTGAGGCCCTAAGCAACTTAGCAAGACCCTGTCTCAAAGTAAAATAAATAAATAAATAAAAGGGCTGGGAATGTAGTGCAGTAGTAAAGCACCCCCAGGTTCAATTCCCAGTACTTAAATAAATAAATAAATGAAAGAGAAGTCTATGACACATGCTAATGAAGAAACCTTCAATGGAACAAGTCTCAGAGTGCCTGGTCTGGTTTGCAGGGCCTGGGGGTAATAAAGTCTCTCTATTTGGAGTGGCCAATCTGACTCCTTTGGGGAAGCTGGAACAATATCTACCAAAAACTGTTCTTCTTGAGTCCTACTGAATGTCAGTCCAAATAGATCAATTCAGAAGTGATTAAAAAGACAGATGAGAAGAGAAGGGTGAATCCTGGAGAAAGGCCAGCACTCATTGTGAAGATTTTATTACCTAAAAAGTACAGGAGGAGCCATGGGCAAATCTAGAAGGTAATGCTGTCACGAAGAGACCCAAACTTGAAGATAGGGTAAAGGAACTGGTAATCACTACAAAGTAACTCACCTATGATGGATTTCATTTCTTACTATTTTTCCTTTGAATTATGCAGAAAAGTAACATATAGAAATACTTGTTTTCCTCTTTAATTTCCTAATTAATTTCCACTGTAATTTCCACCAGTCACCCCAATCAATCAGTAAAATCTAACAGATCCCTACAGCCTTCTGTGCAGTTAGAATGAGGACAGGACAGCAGAGGGTAATGTGATTTGTCCCATATTTTCCATCATTTCATAGTCACAGTAGGAAAACTGCTACCTTCCAAGGAACTGGTCTGGGACTAGCAAGGGGGACAAGTTTGGCTCATCGTGTAGCTAGAGATGGTGAGAGGAGAACGTGATTTGGAGCTCAGTTGCTGGATAGAGGACCTGACAATGGTTCCACCTTCCTTTCGACCCTAAGACATCAGCGTAACAGTACTTTGAAGGAAAAGCAAAAAACAAACCTCGAGTTGCAGCAGTTATTCTAAATGAACTATAGTGAGACCTCAGTCCCAGTTCTTAGTCACCCAGATACTGGTAATCACAACCAAGTCATTTAGATAAGAGACTGACTCTGGATGCAGAGTGTCTTCTTCTGTTTGCCCCAAGCTGTCTGTCAAGATTTTGTCTGGGCATTTAAACCTTGCTTTAAGACCCTACACAAATAGGTCTTTGCTTATTGACCCTGCGAGTGACCCTGGGAGTGGCTGTGTTCCTGTCATGGAATTATCTTGTTCATTCTCTTTATTCTCTTGGGCGACTGCCTCCCCTAGCAGGATTCACATTCTTTGATCTGATCACTTTGTTCTCTTCTTTGCTGTGACAATGGAAAACATTTTAAAGGTCCTTTGGCCAAAAGAGACAGTTTTTGCCTAAATACCAAAAATGAAAACAGATCTGACATTTGGGTAGTACATGAAGTGCCCTTTAAGCAGCAGTCATCATGGATGCTATAATATTCCACTGGGTACCTCTGCAGCTCTGAGGCCCCCCTCCCCCAGTGCCGTTGTCTGCTTAGGACTCAAAACTGAGTTCCTCCCCAGGAATTGCCTTCAGCTGAGGAGCTGCCTAGAAGCAGACAAGTCCTGACCACCCTGAGTCAGCCTGCATCAGGTGACTGTTAATACAGGAATACAAAGGCTTGGCCCCACAGCCTCAGTTTGGGGCAACTTTGAAGGACCACCTCACTCTAGAGCTCCTAGGATGGGCTGAGGTGTCAGTTGCCATTCACATCACATGACAGGTCAGTTTTCCCCCCTCTGATTAATCTTGACTTCTTCTCTTTCTTATAAATCTACATTTCATCCATCTCAGAGTGTGTCCATGGAACTCAATCTAGTAACTAATACCATTAAGCTTTTACAGTAATCATTTCATTTCCATTATCTAATGGGTTTATATTCAAGGGTAGCAGTAAATTAATAATTGAGGATAGATTACTCTGAGGGGGACCTCAGAGCTGCAGAAGTACCCAGTGGCACATTATAGCATCTGCCTTTATGAAAGCATTGTCTATTTTGTAGTTATTTAAATCCTCATCTAAATTATCAGGCATTTTACATTTAGAAATTTGTATTTGTTAATGCATAGTTTTTTTAATAATGAGTTATAGGGAAATGTGAATTTGAGGAAAAGTCATACCACCAGACTCAAGTTTTATTCAGTTTTGGTTATTTCATTTATTCTAATTCTAGGGTAATTTTGGATAACTTCAAAACCTGTCCATGACTGACCTTTGTAGCTTTAGATTAATGTTACATATGAAGACTGGGTTTTAATCTCAAAAAAAAAGTTTCAAATAGTGCTGAGAGCCATAGCCGAGTCAGAATGACACATGGTATTTTTGCCAGAACGGAGTGGTTGAGAGGTGATGACAGCGAGCCATTGAGATGATAATGGTTATGTTAAGCTGTGTATTCAATTGTATATTAGACCCCTGCTGTCCGCCTTGGCCTGCTACTTTGGAGTTCTTGCGGGGATTCCCGGAGAGTTCCCATTGGTTGGGGAAGTGCCGGAGGAGGGATTTCCGGAGGAGGGATTTCTGGTTGGTGTGTGGTGTGTCCCGGGAGAAGGCGTGGCGTTTGCGGGAGTTAGGAAATAAAGTTTGTTCCTGCTTCAGTGGCTCGTGATTTGTGCCCAGCCAGACTGCGGCAAAATAGGCCTATTATTTGTCCAAAATGTCTTACTTTAGAGAAATTCCATATCCCCACAACTTGCAGTCCTAATGCACAGCCAGTCATGATGCTACCCTAAACCCAGGCATGAGCAGTGACCCAAGCCAGCTGATAAGGGTATATAATCTCCTTGATACAGTTATTTGTCCAGAGGTGAGTTTCTGACCCAAATAGCACCCCTCAGATTCAATTTGTCCCTGGGGTTTGTTTATATATGCATACTGTGGGAAAGAAGGGATATAGCCTTGGAGCTTCTATAGCCAACTTCTCCATTATATGCCACGAACTTAAAATGAAGCCAATACCCAGAAGGAATCAGAGCTGAAAGTGAAATCATTTGTGTACCTGGTTGCAGTCAGAGGTCTAGCCTACCTCTGGGATGTCCTTGTTTCATAAGCCAATAAATTCTATTTTATTTGACTAATGTGAGTTGGATTTCTGTCACTTAGAAAGAGACCTAATACTGGGGCTGGGGCCGTGGCTCAGGGGCAGATTGCTTGCCTGGCATGTGTGAGGCACTGGGTTTGATCCTCAGCACCACATACAAAAATAAGCAAATATAATAAAGTTAAGCTTTCTATCTACAACTACAAAAAAAAATTTAAAAGAAAGAGACCTAATGCAAAGGGTCACATCCCCACCTTTACACTCACATCATTTCTCTGAGAACTTATTCCATTATCTTTCTTAGAAGAAAGGCAAGGACCAGTATATTATATTCTCACATAAGCTTTCTGCAATCTTTTCCCCCATTTTTCCCTTCCTTATGTATCTATAGTCTCTGATAGCTGTACAGTGCTTAAACTTATTCATAAAGCATTATTTTATAATTTCCCTGCAAAATATTATTTCCTGCTTTCTGACACAAACCAGTTTCTAGTTAAGGATCTGAATCCTGGTGTGCTACATTTTCTTTTACTTCAATAATTGGTCTGTCTGAAGATGAATTTTTAAGACTGTGAAACTGCAAAAGGACATGGTTTCACTGATGGCAATTTTTCCAAATTGCTGACATACTGCTATATTTGCAAACCTAAATCTATTGGGGCAGAAAATATCACATGCATCACTAAAATAGTGAAGGGAGGTCAGTCATAGGACAATGAATTGCGGAAACCTCCTATTCAAGTATATAACAGATGAGCATCTCAAAGGCTCTGCAGGTGTGGCTTTTTATGCCATATAAATGCATCCTAAGAATCACAGTGTCAAAGTTAACTCATCCACAAATGATTTTCACAGCTTTAGGGTAAAATTATTCTGCAAATGAGAAGCCCGTGACTTGGATTATAAAGCTGATTTAAGTTGCTGTTCAACCCTCCTAACCGCTGACATTTTCACAGGTGTTCATGTGGCATGAATGTGGAGTCTAAAATAGAACCACAAGCAGAGCACACAATGTCTCTTTGGGAGTCCCCAAGGAAGCTTTATAGTTTATATAAGCATGCTTTGTATACTATTTGCATAAGCAGCTCTTAGTTACAGATCACAAGATGTCCAAATCAGTAGGGAAGTACATAACAGATGATTTAGTGTGATTCCTTGACACTGAAGTTTAGGGAGATAAAATGATTCACCCAAGATTTCATAGCTTGTGAATGACACATCCAGGAGCAGATCCCAGTTTCCTTGCAATAGGTCTGGAATTGCCTTACTGATTCTCTTTTACAAATTCTCTTCCACCTCAGAGGTTTGCTCCGACCTCTACCTGTAGTTTGGTGGAAAGAGCATTAAATCTAGGATCAGAGGACTTAGATTTAAGTCCTGGGCCTAACACTTACTAGATTTATACTTTTAGTTAAACCATATTATATGCTTACAGACTTTCTGCAATCTTTTCCCTGTTTTCTTCTAGTTATTTTCCTTATGTATCTATAGTCTCTCTCTCTCTTTTTTTCCTCCATTTTTCACTTTTCCTCTATTTCAGTGGGCCCAGATAAAGGTAGAGAGGAAACTGATAGTTCATTAATCAAGTTGACTTCAGCCAGCTTGTGACTCTAGAGCAGTGGGGAGTATGTAGAAATTAGATCAGTTTGAGTTTTCTTGGCATTCAGTTTCTTCATTGTATTACATCACTGTTAGTCATGTTGAAAAACAGAAGGGTAAGTTATCAATAATTATCGTAAATTTAATAGAGAAAAAAATTTTCAGGAATTTAGAAAAATAGCAGCAGTTTGAAAAACTGAGGAAAGCAATTATCAGAGATGGAGGAAATGACATCAGATGGACCCTAGAATCACATGGAAAGTGTGACTGAACATATAAGACATGTCAAGCAAAAAAGGACAGAGGGCAAGGTGGGTAAGAAATATCAATTAGAAAATGAAAGATATTCATATTCAAAACCATTTTAAAGAAACTAAATGTCAAAGGAAATATCTGAGAGTCACGTTTGATCCTTAGGCTTGCCAATCTATGATTATTAATAGAAGAATGGAGGAGAATAATTAAATATGTAATTTCTAATATACACATGTAGAGACATCTGTAAAAATCTGAAATTTAATAACAACTCTAAAATCTTTCTGGTCTTAATTTCATAAAAGAAAAAAATTCAACTTTCCACATACTCAAAACCAGTCTTATTTGGTTCTACTTTATTTTATTTGTATGGATCATTTCATACATAATATTAAATAGAAGACTCTAAATTATTACCCAAAAAGTTTTATCTTTTCAAATTTCATTTTCAAGAAAACTAAAAGAGTTTATGTTCTTTAGTGGTAGACTTCCT